ATCACATCTAGTGTATTATATCAATTTGAACGTTTTGTAGAATTAAAAATAGCTAACTATTGCTTACCCCATATGTTAATTATTTCAGATGATACATTTTTGAACACTAACTAGCAAAAATTAGCTTGTGTACATCCATTTTAATATTCTCTTGCATTATTAGCACTATCCCATCATCCTAGCACAAAATGTGTTAAAAATTGAAAATATTTTGTTTACAAACAGTTATAAACAATTAGTTTAGCTTATCTATGTTTACTATTGTTTGATATTTAAGTCGTTTTTTGTTCGTCTGTAACTGTCATAGATTAGTAACTGTCAATCATGTCCTGCTGTCGCTCACTGTGTCAATTTCTCAATATCAATGATTTCAGGTTTCCATTGAATTGTGTCATTGAGTACATTTCAAAACTATCCTTTTTACATCAAAAGTAGAAAGGAACCATTAACAAAAAATACAAATGCTTAGTATAAAATAATAACTAACCTAATTAAAAAAAAAACATCTGAAAGTAATAATGCATAAATAATAAATAAAATAGAGGGTATAAAAAAATGGAATAGTATATGCGATTCGTTACATTAATCTTTATATGTATGTAGAGGAATGAATTTTTATTTATAGATCTTCCAGCTCGTCGCTCGTCTGTCATTTCATCTTGTCATTCAATTGTGTTCGGTCCTCGAGAAGACGATGTACCACCATTTTTGCTGTCCATAAATGGAAACAAAGCCTGAAAGTATTTAGCCCTAATCTTTATTCGATTTTCATTTGATTTATTGTGTGGAATGCGTTTCAGTTTAGTGATTGATTGGTTTCAATTACCCGCTCCGTCATTATATTTTGTCATGAAAAACTTGGGTGGCGTGTTCGTTTCGTGCTCTAATATCGAGTGTGTCGTGGCATCTTGCCTGTACTCATCTAATGTGAATTTTATAAATTCTTAGTTTATTGAAGTTTGAATAGTTAGGGTTTTGTTAGAATTTTTAAATTTTGAAAACACGTTTAGGCGATGATTCTAGATTTTTCATATCGATGTGACCACGCCACGAAGATTGCTTTCATTTTATAGCCAAAATATGTAAAATATTTCTTAATGCTATTATTCTGCTTTTAAAATTCCAAATTTCCTTTAAACTTTTTTTAACTTTTACCTTGTTATGCTATAGATTAGGTTTTAACGACTTTTTTCTGTAATATAGGCTTGCTTTGAGATTACATCCTTGGATTCGAGGGACAAACAGTACTTGCAGATTTGTGGCAATCAGACATATTTTTATTTCCAAGTATGCTTCTAATGAGCTGGTCAAAAAATTCATAGGATACAGGGAGAGGATAATTCAAATGGCCACGAAACGCGGGGAAGCAGAACCCCAATCATGCTTCTTTTTGTCGGTCTTGGACAGGGTAAGAAATCTTTAAATATTTTATGAAGTTGTATTTATGAAATGGATGCGATTTTCCAAGTGTAGTTTTCCATTTGTTTGACAATAATTACCACTATAAGTTTTTACACTTGTGAATTGTCATAGTTTTGTAAAAGTATTGATTTTGATAGTCTATTATTTAATTGGTGAAAGTTATGGTTCTTAAATATTTTAAAATGAAGCTAACATAATATTGTTTCAACAGGATGCATTTAAATGTATTAAATGAACAAGGATTCAAAACCTGCAGAAGTGGAGCCCCTTTAATTTTCCCTCCCCTTGGGCGTGAAGGTGCAATTTCCAGAAGATATATGCAATCCAAATTACACTAATGCATAAAAGGATGGTTGCGATGCGATGTTTGGCTTATTTCACTTATTTCCTTTCATCAGCATCTACTAAGGAATAAAATTCGAGCACCGTATAGTGATACTTAAGGTGAGCTATTATTTTGAAGTGACTCAGTTTTTATAGTAATTTGCCACCTGTAACATTTATGGTTTTACTTCTGATGGTTATCTATTGTTCACAGCATAAATCGATGTTACCGTTTGTCTATGGGGTTCTCTTTTATCTATCTATTGTCCACTGTATAAATTGACATCATGCATCTACGGTTATTTCTATTGCCTTTAAAATTTATGTATGACATGAATAAAGTTGACGTATCGTCGCCTTTTTATAATTTAGGAGTTTTACTTGCGTTTTTGTGCATTATTTTACTTAATTTAAATCCCTTTTTTAATTGATTGTGTAACTAACACTCTTTTTTGTTCATCTCTACAGATCGCCTGACAAATGGGAGAGAAATAAAGTTAAGGTTGATGGGACTGAAACAATATCTACAGTGTTTGGTGGACTACATTCTTGATTTGCTGTTTTCGTCTTCACCTTGCAACATTATGCAGTTAATTTTCAAGTGATGAGTGAGAGCAACTGAAGATTTATGACAATTCCACTGAAATAAGAAATTTTCGGCATTGGCATTCCTCTTTGATTTGATTTACATTTCACACCTGCATACTTTGGAACATTACGGTCTACAGTTAATTAAGGTGAGAATACTTGACATTATTAATTTTAATTGCTCCTTATTAATCTGTTACCACCGTATCTGTTTCAGGTCGACGTTGGAGAAGACAAAGATGACCCCATAGTTAAAATAGTTCTCTATCTTGCATGCACTGTGTAGTAGAATTTATCAAGTTCATTTGATTCAAATTAGTTTTTTTACAGTTTATTTTATTTAAATTAGTTTTTTTATTTTGCATGCTTAATTTTGTTCATTTAATTTGAAGTAATTGTTGATTGTAGATGTTTTTATTATTTTTTTGTATGTAATGGTAGTGTAGTAGTAGAAATAACACGTTTAGTAGTTGTAGTATAGTCTAACCTTGCTTACCTCTTCGCTTAGCTTACTGCATATTCTTCCTAATTTGCTTTGCATTTACCCTACGAGTTCTACATGATTCAACGTTTCGTTATCGTGTGTGTTTCTTCTCACCCTTGTGGAATTAGGGAGGGCCTCCCCGAACGACTTCCCTTGGGCTTAGCTATTTAGTTGATCTTAAAAGTGTCTTATACACTTTTCGCGAGTCTACTCTAGCGTTACTTCCTTTCAGACAGGGTACAGTGGGTTATCTGGAATAGGAGCAATAGGCGACTGCCCAGCTTGCCTTGGCGAAATCTGTCCGATCTTCTCTACCAAAACTATTAGTATTTGTCGTTAGTCCTTGTAATTGCACTATTCGCTTTCAGATTATGACATATTTCCTAAGAAGAACGAAGACATCATTTTCTTTTTTGCTTTTTATTGTAATTTCTTTGAAATTTCATGTGTTTTCTTGTCTTTCTCTTACAGGTATTTTGTTTTTTACTGCATAAACTGTAATATCTTTATAATCATAACTTAAGTTGATATTTAAAATGTTTCTAAATTGATTTTTTTGGTATAATTATTAAATTAATGTTCGTTTTGGGTGGATAGGGTGGCTATAAGGGGAGATGCGGAGGCCACAGAAGGTTAGGGAGGCTTTTTTCTCCCTAATCTTGCATTGAAATAATAATGGTATGACAGTTTATGTATAATAATTGTATTTTCTTTGAAATTTTATTGATCTTGTCTTTTACAGGTATTTTATTTTTAACTTTTATGAGTTGTTAGAATGTATTATATCTTAGATAATTAGTTTATATTGATGTATTGTTGTTATTTGAAATAAATTTGTACTTTATAATAAATGTAAATCATATTTCTAAATAATAAATGTATTTTCATTGTATTGTCATTCTTTAGTATTTAAATAAATAAATAAAATGAAAGTATGTGTTTTTAATTTTGTCCTTAGTCTTGAACAACAGTAAAGAATAAAATAGCATAAATACTATAAAAAGAAAGGAAATTGTGTCAATTTTTGAAAATTACCAGAGCTGAAGTTAATCCCGGGCTTTAATTCTGAACTTTATTTCTAAATAATAGATGTATTTTTATTGTATTATCATTCTTTAGTATTTAAATAAATAAAGTATGTGTTTTTAATTTTGTCCTTAGTCTTGAACAACAGTAAAGAATAAAATAGCATAAATACCATAAGAAGAAAGGAAATTATGTCAATTTTTGAAAATTACCAGAGCTGAAGTTAATCCCGCGCTTTAATTCTGAACTTGGAAAAAGACCCAATGCAACTTATGCTCTCCTAATACAATTTATGATAATTTTCGATTTTGAGCCAATTTGGTTGTTCCATAACTTTTTGACCAACCCTCGTATATGACGCAAAACTGAAAATTTTGTTAAATCTGAAAATTTGTATTAGGAGAGCATAAGTCGCAAGAGGTCATTTTCAAACTACCAATTTTTAGCGCGGAATTAACTATATGGCAGTCTTGTTTTTTGTTTTCCGCGCTAAAAATTGGTACTTCGAAAAAGACCTCTTGCGACTTATGCTCTCCTAATACAATAGTTGAAATTTATGAAAATTTTCGATTTTGAGCCAAATACGAGGGTTAGTACAAAAGCAATGGAAAAATCAATAATTGTTTTTTGAAATTTGGTTTTTCCATAACTTTTTGACCAACCCTTGTATATGACGCAAAACTGAAAATTTTGTTAAATCTGAAAATTTGTATTAGGAGAGCATAAGTCGCAAAAGGTCTTTTTCGAAGTACCAGTTTTTAGCGCGGAAAACGAAAAACAAGACTGCTATACA